GGTTGACCTCTTTCATATGCACAATTTACGGCAATAGAAGGTATCTTGAATAGGTAGCTTCATTTGTAATGACTCAGCTAACTCTTTTTAACAAAGTAAATAGCGACCCTTCACTTTTAACGACACTGGCCACACCCATCGTCCAAAGTCTCTAAAACTTCGCTTAGACCTAACTGCTGGATGGGACATAAAAATGCATTCTGTGAATTTAATGCTCCTCATGGAGGCTGCGAGTGCTGCTGTAAGTGTGTTGTATTCTTGGAACCCTCCTTTGCCTGCCTTAGCTTGAGGCCAGCTGCGTGCGAATGATTTTTTCCGTTCTCTCTATATAATTGTCTTGCCCTTGACTGCACGAGATTTAGTGAAAAACAACAGAGGTTCCTTGTCTTGCCAGTGGTTCTTTGCGCCCTATCACCCGGCGTCTGATGGAAGGTCTGTGTGGACACGGATGGCAAAACACGCATTAGCCGCAACCTGAAAATGCTACCCAGCCCAGAACAGCGGCTGCCTCGACGAGATCCCCCACAATACAACGACGAGTTTAAGAATGTCTCAACAGGTGACAGGCGGATGAAATGCTAAAGTCATGATTCACCGGCCCCCACTTCACTTCCCAGTCAGTGCTGGGACTTGGCATGGATTGGAAATGATTCATGTGACATTTCTGAAGGGCAGAACAGCCGGATAATTCTCACCAACACCATGACGAAATCGATGCCACTAACGACTCCGATATGAGTGACATAAAGAATACCGTACTAAGCATAAGACCCCACGACAAATGCGGAGGCTGACATTCTGTAAATACCGCATCCCTTGTGCACCAGGTGTCTCTGAAGATAGGTCTGAAAATAAATCCGGAATGCCCGACGGACAAAACACTAGTTCTAACAATCGAGTATAGAGCTTTTTAACTTGCAAAACATGCTGGTCTGGAGCTATTCAGTAAGATGCTTTCAGCCCCTTTCTATGTGGAGCTTACGTTGGCTTCGTTCTAATGTTCGAGTCCAGGCTCCATTAAAGTTTAAAGAATCTTCGAGGACCCCAATTCAGCTTGTCCAGGGCAAGGTAGTATGTATTTTTAAAAAATTCCCTTTTGAGCAAAAAATTTGGTGAGCTATACCTGCCTAGATAAATATCGGCACCATGTCTAAAACTGTCTATATTTTGGCATGCGGTAGCTTCCAAAAGTAGACTGAGTATGAGATTAATGTTGAATTTTTTGAAAAAATCAAAAACATCACATGTAGCAAAATTTTGAAGGAAGACGCTGACTGAGTCTGTTGAGAAGGTCTAGTCAGTCAGTGTATTTGAGGGAAATAGGCTTACGCCTTTGAACTCCCTATTTGTACATAAAAAAAATCGATAAACATGCAAAAATGTGAATAAATTACAGAATTAAGTGAATGCATACATTGATTCACATATGTCACTGGTCACATGGCTAAAAAGTCACATATTCCGCTTGTTGCTGCAGCATATATCTGTCAAGACGACATTTAAATGTCTCCACAGATTAAGACATAACAACCGTCTCGGGCAGGTTATTCCACGGTTCCACGACACGGTTGGAGAAGAAATATTTTCTCACATTCAGTCTACCTTGTGGCATACGTAGCTTGAAGGAATGTCCTCGGAGGTGAGTTGTAGTGGCGAGTTGGAAAAAGCCGCGCACGATACGGAATGTTTGTATCATGTCTCCGCGCAACTGCCTATAACTCAGAGGATAGAGATTAAGGTTAGTTAAGCATGCACATTTCAGTTTGTAGAGGTGAGCTGTTGTGAGGCAAGTGCCCAGAGCCGTCAAAATGATTGGGTACGCTTTTACAGCTGGTGGTATACTAGAAGTCCCGTAGGAGACCGACAAAGGAGCTGGATATCTGGTAATTGCAGGACAACAGCAGCACCAAATTCGCACAGGGATTTAGGCAGTATTTGTGCTGACAGTATGAAAAAGATGAGTTAAAGGCACTGTCAGTATAAGAACCTCTGTCGGAAAAGTATACCATATGGTAACTCAAGAAGATACTAAATAATATCAGGAATGGAAGAGAATATGCGCATTCCATGTTCATGTTAAAAAGAAGACGAAGGCACGATCACTGGGATAGTAGTTTTATTGACCTGAGCTTTGGAACTCGAACTGGAGTTCATAGTCAGAGACTGCTAGAGTGCAGCAACGTGTGAGCATTTATATCGTAGTTCCATGCGGGGGGGGGCT